GATTTTAATTCCAATGTCTTCATTACTTTAGTCTCGTACTGCCCTTCGAAACACTTCACCAGGCGCTATCGCATGAAATGTGTCTTCACAATAATTTAGACACCTTACGTTAATACAATAATCTATAAATACATATAAAAACAGGAGGCACACGACTACTATAAGTATAGTGTTTGTCAGGTTTTATCTCGATAAAGCTCTCAGCATAATTCCGCGGAATTCGTACCTCCCTGCCAATATGTCCAGTCAATGTTCTGAAGCTATTGTGTCTTCTAACCTGCCTCACCGAAGACATTCTGCTCAAATCACTTGTATAGTGTGCTCCAATCAAAGTGCATTCAATATATTTTCTAGATGCCTACATTGCATCTGTAACAATTGCGTGGATTGTGTTGCTGAAAGGGAGGTGTTCAAGTGTCCTCTCTGTGATGAAATCAGCCCAAAGGTTTGCTCATATAGACATTTTACGTGGTTTTAAGCTATATTTGAACGCAATTCTGGCCAAACATGATGCTCTTCATGCGTCTCCTAATTGCACTTGGTGCCAAGACAACGGAGAGTCTACTAAGTCTGTTGGTCACTGCAAGGATTGTGATAACTGGCTGTGTGCAGAATGCGTTAAAGGGCATAACAGGATGCCTCCTTTTCGGTCACACAATGTCGAGATGTCTTCAGACACCACAGATCGAGGTATTAATTGTTCTGTTGTTTGTATTACAGATGCGCTACGTTGTGAAATTCATCCAAGGGAAACGCTTGAACTCTTCTGTGAATCATGTGGGGTTCTTACTTGTCGAGATTGCCAGTTGTCTGTTCATAGAGAGCATGGAGGTCATCGATGGGTGGGTGAAAAGGCCGCCTTGCTCCGTGGCCCCTTGGAGGAAGCTGCAAAGGAATTGACTAAACAGAGGATTCGCCTCCTCCGTGCCAACAGTGATGCCCTAAATGCCCTTAAATTTGATCAAAAATCGGATAGTACTGGGAGTATGGAAGCTAATGTTGCCAAAGCCCTGTATGATGTGGACTCTAGGGCGGATGCATTAATTGCTTCTATTAATAATCATAGGCGCTTATTAAAGGAAGGATTATCACTTAAGGCTAAAGAACATAGGCAACTTCTTAGAAGTGCCATTGAGATCATGAGAAAACTTCAGGTTTGTATATGCATAGTCTTTGTTTTTCTCATTTTCGCTCATTAAATTGATTACCATTAACTTCAGGATCAAATTGATTTCGCTCTGAACTTCGAAAAGCGTTTGGTAGACAATGTAGATGATGACCCAGCTAGTTTGGTCCAGTTACATACAAGTCTAGAAGCTCTTTTGCATCGCTTATCATCTCGAGTTTCTAGGATCGTTTCCGACTCTCCTCCCTCCTTTGATATGGAAGCAGAATATGACGATGAGCAAGCCAAACTCGCTAATGCCACGGATTTATCTCAAAATCCTAGCGCCTGGCGGCAAAATTCGTTAGGGTGGAAAGCATCAATGTCTGCTCGTGTTGCTCTTCTTGGAAATCGGGATCCCGATGAATTAGCACGTCTTTCATGTGCCGTGTTTTGGTTTCAAGAGTCAAAAAAGCGAAGTAGACATAAAAGGCCTGCTGTCGAAAACAAAATAAGTAAACTGCCTAATGATTTTGAAAGTGGTTCCGATACTGAGTGCCCGTCTTCTCCCGTGTCCGCAGGGAAGAAAAGACCAACAAGAGACGTATGTTTAAAATCAGAACACTCACAATTTCATAATATTTATTATCTCTTATGTTTTTTCTCATTATGTAGTGAAAATGTACTTGAGTATTTATACATAATGTCCAATTGGTTCATCCTTAGTAGTTAAAGCCATTCATAAAAGCCCTTATTATAGAACATTTTTTGAACCATTTCCATTATTTAAATTACTTTCACGCCGTTCTTCGAAATCTCTATGACGACCACGAGGCATCATAGCTTACGT